TATTTATATTGTGAAAGAACAGTATAAAATGATGAATAAGCCATTCTTCATTTAGAAAACTTATTTGAAACTAGTGAACTATTCAAGAGTTCCATCCTTAACAGAAAAAGAAAGACCACCATCCTTTAGGCCAATAGTTGATTTTATTTGTTTGTTTGTATCTTTTTGGTGGCAATGAAAAAGCACAGGCTATGGAATCTGACAAACCTAGGTTTAAATCCCTGCTTTACCATCTAACATTGCTTATGTGACCACGTGCAAATAAATGTCTTTCCAAAACTGAGTTTCCTTGTTTGTAAAATGAGAAGGTGATACTAATAATTATTAAATGGTGCTAATAATAGTACTTACTTCATATGGTAGTTGCAAAGGTTAAACAAAATAAAACACAGTGCCCGTCAAATACAGAGAGTGCAAAAAGTATAGCTAAAAAACAGAAAATAATCTAAAAAAGAAACAATTTTAAAAAGCTCAAACAAAACAAAAAGAAAAAACACAAAAGTAGAAAAATAACAAACTATAGCTTTAAAAAACCCTACCCGTTTATTGTGATTCCTCTAACTGCACAGACCCCAAAGGAGAAGAACCATCTGGTCTCCTCAAGGTACCTGTTATGCCAACCCACTCCCAACCTGAATGAGAATGAGCAGGTTCCATGGAAACAGAGAAGCCAGCTGGGAGGGTAAGTGAAAGTGTGTACTTCACCAGATTAGGTGGAGTCAAAAATAAATCTCACACCCTCTTGCTTATACTCAAGTCAGCACGTAGGTAGTGTATTTTGCAAACCTAGGGCCAGAACAGGCTGCCCTTCAGCTCTAGAGAGTTCTCCACACCCAATCAGATTTACAGACACACCTCAGCCTCTGGCAGAAGCTTCCACTAAGTAGCTTCATGGGGCTGGAACTCTTTCATGGATCTTACACAAAAGGTTCTATACCAGACTCCTCTCTCTCTCATCAGGCCTGGGCATTAACACAATTTCTATCCCTCCATTCTGATGACTGCAGGAATGAACATTACTGAGCTCTTCTTTAATGATAATCTTCAAATCCTAAACCATTTCAGGCCAACCTGGTTACAGGTTGCTAATCCACAAAGTCAGTGGGGAAAGGATCAGTTTACCCAATATGATGAAAGACTGTTTTCCTCACTAAGTCAAAAAGCCAAGTACAATCCCTGATTAGCAGAGAAAGGGAGACCATAGATAGATAGTCATTGTATGGGTATCCCTGTAATTTATACATAATCCTAAACAGAGATTCTGGATGCACTTACCAAGGGCTACTCAACTTTACCTTTTCTGTTTCACTGAATGCCAAGGGCTTTTCTGTCTCTGCAATTTTCTTTGCTCTTTACATATTTTCTTCCCTAAGCCCTATACACATGCAACAGACTTTATAATTTGTAAAAACAAAACAAAGACAAATTTTAAAACCCAAAAGCATTTAAATTTTTAAATCAAGAAGTAGAATCTAATCTATAGAAAGTGGAGTTTTTAGTTTAATATTGTTTTTTGTGTTTTTGAGATGGGGTCTCACTGTGTAGCCCAGGCTCACCTTGAACTCAAGATCTTCCTTCTTCAGGTTTAGGGAGTGGTTTTAAATGGTCATTAAATTGAGGGTGAATGTTTCAAAACAGTATGCCTCTAAGAGAGACCAAATTGTAACAGACAGGGGTTGTTCTCAACTAAAAACAATGCAATTTAGCTGAATTATATGGTCTGATGAACCACATGGGAGCCAGCCATCGGCATAACTCTTCTAAGGACACAATGATGTCCTGACAGTTAGGACAAGGAGTTAAGACACTTGAAACTTAACTGCCTTTTTTTTTTTTTTTTAAAGAATTTTTAATATTTATTTTTTAGTTCTCGGCGGACACAACATCTTTGTTGGTATGTGGTGCTGAGGATCGAACCCGGGCCGCACACATGCCAGGGGAGCGCGCTACCGCTTGAGCCACATCCCCAGCCCCTTAACTGCCTTTTTAAAGTCTAAAGGAGATTTGTCCAGGATTCCAATATTAGGTGGGTGGTTGGACTCCATGAACACAGAAACTTTGAACCAACCTAAGACACTGATTCTGTTTGTAGATTCATTATCAACATTGCCACTGATTTAGTGTTCTGCCTAAGCCGCCTAGGAAAAAATCACCAACTTCTGCTCACCAAAGCACCAGTATATCAAATACACCAAGTCACTCAAAGAGCAAACATCCAAGGAGCTGAACAGTATACTGCTAGGCTTTTTTCACAGGTTCATTGAGTACTGGGATTACACACACAAAATCCTTAGCAAAAGTCGAAGTATAGCTAGACACTGATATTGTTATGCACTGGATGCAAACTTATCTGTGATATTAACTATTCCCATTTTGCTGATTAATAGATGTGATCAGGGGCTGGGGCTGTGACTCAGCAGTAGCACACTTGCCTAGCATGTGCGAGGCACTGGTTTCGATTCTCAGCACCACATAAAAATAATTAAAAAAAAGGTCTAACAACAACTAAAAATTTTTTTAAAAAATAGATGTGATCAATCTCTTAAACTATCTCTCCCGTCACCCCTCTTTGTCAATGTGTTTATGTGTATATATTCATATGTGTATATGAATCTTTCAAAGACCAAAACTTAAACTTGGTAAAAAAAAAATTCAACTTCATAAAAGAAATGCACATTAAATATGCCCTGAGTATGTCATTTAACAGACTGAAAATAAATCCCAAAGTTTTGTCTGTTTCACTGGCAAGATTGTGAGGAAGCAAGTATTATGTTACACTGTTGGTGGCAGTATAAAATGGTACATCCCCTGTAAAAGGCAATTTGGCAATATAAATATTTCAAATGTATTGCACTTGACCTACCAACTCCACTTGTGTAATTCATTCTTGTAGACATACTTATAAAGAAACAAAACTGCAGGTTTATTCATTGAGGCATTTTTAGTAATGATAAAAGGATAAAAAACAATACATTATCTACTAATGAGGAATTGGTTAAATAAATTAGTCAAATACTATGTAGCTAAAAATAAATTTTAAAGAACAAGGAAGCTCTCTGTTGATACCAAAATAACTGAGACATATTTTAAAGTAGGCACTATATGCTTCTTTATGAACCTAATAAACTCTAGAAAGCTAAAAAGATACACAGGAAACCAATAATAGTATTTACTTCAGGAGTCCGTGGTCTGAGGATGGCTGAGAGCATAGCAGACTGGAGGAAAAAAAGCTAGAAGAGACTTTTACTATAATCATTGGGATAGATTGAACCCAGGAGCACTATATGACTGGGCTTCATCCCTGGTCCTATTTTTTTATCTTGAGACAAGGTCTTAATAAGTTGCCTCAGTTGGCCTTGAATTTGAGGTCCTCTTGCCTCAGCCTCATGAGTAACTGGGATTACAGGTGTGTGCCACAGCAATTGGTTGTGATTTTTTTGAATCAAGTTTCCATATTACCAATTCAAAAATCTTATCCAGGATTGGTTTTCATTAATAAATGTGTATGATACATGCATACAATGGAATATTATTCAGTAACACAAAGAAATGAGCTGTCAAGCCATAAAAAGACACAGAGAAGCTTTAAATGCCTGTTGGTAAGAGAAAGAAGCCCATCTGAAAAGTTTATACACTGCAGTCCTCCAAAAATATGATATTTTGGAAGAGGCAAAACTTTAGAGACAGTAAGATGATCAGTGGTTGCCAAAGGATAGGGACAGGGAGAGGATGAACACATGAAGCACAGAGCATTTTTAAGGCAACAAAACTATTCTGTGTGAATACATGACATTATGAATCTGTCAAAACCCAAGGAACTTACAACACAAAGAGAGAAGCCCAACATAAACTTTTGTTTATGTTACTAATAATGTATCATATCAGTTTATCAACTGTAAAAAATGTACTACATTAATGCAAGATGTTAGTAATAGAAGAAACTGAATGGGAGTGGGTAAAACAAGGAACTCTATTATCTGCTCAGTTTTCTGGAAGTTTAAAACTCTTCTAAAATTTAAGCTTATTTATCTCTGAGACATATTTAAAAAGTAGGCACTATATGTTCCTGCTAGGCTTTATTTCACAGGTTCATTGAGTACTGGGTAAATGAGATTAAATACACAAAATCCTTAGCAAAAGTCTAGACACTGATATTGTTATGCATTGGATGCAAAAGTATCTGTGATACTAAGTATAAAAAAATGCATGACTGGGCTGGGGATGTGGCTCAAGCGGTAGCGCGCCTTGCCTGGCATGCGTGCGGCCCGGGTTCGATCCTCAGCACCACATACAGACAAAGATGTTGTGTCCGCCAAATACTAAAAATAAATAAATAAATAAATATTTTTAAAAAAATGCATGACTGTGCATATATATGTCTGTACGTGTATGTGTGTGTTTCATGCAGCAAATGCTTATTCACTAAATGTGCTAAAGCACTGCACTGCAACTACAACCTTAGCTCAAGAGTTAAGTCACAGGTAAATCAGGTTCTGATCCTAGCACTACTGTTTCTAGCTGTGTGGTCTTATTTATGCAAGTTACCTCTTCAGCCTTAATTTCACCATCTGCAAAAGGGAAGAAAACATAATTTCTTCTAGTGCTGTTGGGAAGTTTCAAAGAATACTGCACGTAAAATACTTCGCATAGTGCCTAATGTAAAAGAAAAGCTAAAACAGCTTTAGCTGCCACTGTAACGGTAAAATGATTATTCATGGAATGACTGACAGGACACTTCAGGTTCCAAGGTTACTTACTCTACTACCAGCAGATCAATAATACCCCAACGTGTCCCTCTTTGAACACAATCCACCCCGTAAGCTTTACTCCCCAGCTGCAGTTTTTCCTCCCCGTTAGGCCACGCTCAGGCCCTGGAACCCCAGCTTCCCCGCCCCTTCCCATCCCACCCGGACCCGTTCCCACTCAGACCCCGCCTCCTCCCCACACCCTGGCCTAATTCATCTTCACTTTCCTTCCCCAAAGTTGAAGGAAGCGCCTACCCAGATACTCGTAGTCGGGTAGGGCTAGGCGCTCGGGACTCAGCATCCTTTGACCCGGGTACCTTCCAAGCTCCAGCTCTCTGGCTTCCGGAACCCAGGTTGCACTCTCTCTCGGTTGCCATGGCACCCGTGGCGGGAGGCAAAACGGGAGGCGGAGGAGGTGTAACGCCAACAGTCTCCGGGGCGCAACGCTGAGTCCGCCACGCAAGTTCCGCAAGCAGTCACTTCGCGGGGGGCCGAGGTTTCGTTGGACACGGTTCTTGCGGACTTGGTTTTAGAAGAATCTGAGATGGAGAGTCCTTTGAATCTGTCACATTTCCTGATGTCAAAGAATTACTGTCAGCCATCCATATCTGCAATTTCTGAATTTCATACCTATTCCTGTTTAGAAAGCTGTCACCGTGACTCAATAATTCCCACTCGTGAACTACCATAAACAGTCTCATTACCTATTTTTATCTACTTAGCGTGTGCTCTCTTACATTGCTACAAAGTGCTTTCACGTGCATATTGTAACGTGGCTACTTCTTGAAGTTAGGGATGTGTCTTTTAGCCTGCAACAGTGCTGACACACGAAAGGTGTTCATTAAGTACTCAGTAAGTCAATTGCCATTTCCTTTCAAATCCTCTTTTGGGTCCTCCTTTTACTATCATCCCTATTATTTCATGCCTTTTCTAAGGGTCTTTCCTTTTTTTCTACCCAGACACTTTATTTCTTGAAGGTGAAGGGTGCAGGAAGTAAGACATGTATTAGATTTTTTCTTCACATGCCCAATTGCTTACTTCTCCTTTGAAAGGAGAGAGTGTATTCATTAGTTTTCAGGTTCCCAGATATTTCTCTGTCTGCTCCTTTCCACTCCCAATAACAGATCTGTAGCAATTTTCACTGTTTAAATCCAGCAGAAAAAAAGCCACTCTGTCCTTGCTTTTTTAGTAAATGTCCCCCCACCCCCTCCAACAAGGTGAGGTTTTGTGAAAAAGACAGAAAGCAAACAAAAATCATGCCATCAAAAGGACTTGGAAACCAATAGACCACCTACACTGGGAGGAGAAGGAAAGAGAAGGTTCTTCTCTTTGTGTTCCGAGTGTCCTATTCTTAGCCTCCTCCAGCAAGGAGCCTCAAACCTCCTAATTCTCCCTTTCCCTTAAAATTGTATATGTGTCTCAATTCTAGGCTCCTGTGAGTCACTCTCGAATTTGGATGTGGTAAGGAGAAAGGGACAAAGCCAAACTAGGAGCCATGGTTAGTATTTTGAGGTAATGAATTTACTAATTTGGTATTTGATGAAAAGTCCTACAAATCTGGTTTTTAAAAACTTTGCCTTCTCCTTGCTCCATCCACCACTTTTTCCATGCAGCTTGAGGGTATAGGAGTTTCATAAGTTTCATATTTGTGGCTCATTACTGTAATATTAATAAAATAATAGGATAGTAATTATTAAAGATGATAATTTTACTTTATTCCCAAATAGCCTGAAGGTATTTGCAGATAATTTCATATGTGTTCACGAAAACAATGTAAGGCACTTCTCCTCTTTCTAAGTAGGGAAACTGAGGCATGAGTCACAAAAGTGACTTGTCTAGTATCATCCATCCAGTCAGTGGGAGAGCTAGAACAGGATCTCAGCAATCCCAACTTCCAGGCTACTGGTCTAACCACTAAACCACACAGCCTCTTTTTTTTAGGGTTTGTTGGCTGGATGTTTATTTATTTATTTTTTCCTTTTGCTCTGTCCTGCTGGCAACTGGAAGCTCCCCCCAGATAAAAGAAGAGAATTTCAAGACTAGGCTAAACATTTGACATCCTCTTATTTGTGGAGCATTATCCTGGGACACGGAGGGTGCTGCTACTGGGGTCTGTGTGGTAAAACTGGGAACTAGCCCCAAGAATATAGCTTTGTTTGGGCATTAACCCATTTGTGGTTATAATAATGATAAGTTTCAGCACCAGTGGCGCCCGACTGTTAATGACTCAAAGAAAGCTAAATAAGAACAAGATGTCATCTCTGGACCAATTTGTAGGTTTTTCCTACAGTTCTGTCCCTTCCATAAAAATCCTAAAGACCCATGTATTTAAAGTTCGCCTTCCACTTTGAATGTTCTAAACAGTCTATTGAGGAGAAGGACTTAGGGGTAAAGAGGTTGCTAGATTAAGGCTTCAAGAAAATCTGGACCCGGGGGGCCCTGGCACATACCTATAATCCCAGAGGCTTGAGAGGGTGAAACAGGATGATCATGAGTTCAAAGCCAGCTTCAGCAAAAGCGAGGTGCTAAGCGACTCAGTGAAACTCTGTCTCTAAATAAAACACAAAACAGGGCTGGGGATGTGGCTCAATGGTCCAGTGTACCCGAGTTCAATCTCTGGTACCAAAAAAAAAAAAAAAAAGAAAGAAAGAAAGAAGAAAAAGAAAATCTAGGCTTTTTCAGAAATAACAGATGGTTTTCTTAGGTGGCACAATTACTAACTGCATTTCTTTTTTTTTTTTTTAATTTTTTTTTTTTTTTAAGAGAGAGTGAGAGAGGAGGGAGAGAAAGTGAGAATTTTTTTTAATATTTATTTTTTAGTTCTCGGCTGACACGACATCTTTGTTGGTATGTGGTGCTGAGGATCGAACCCGGGCCGCTCGCATGCCAGGCGAGCGCGCTACCGCTGAGCCACATCCCCAGCCCAACTGCATTTCTCTTCTTTGTGTTTTTCTACATTCTTAATTTTTTTTCTGTAATGGGTATGTATTATAACCTGAAAACAAACAATACATGAGTGGCACAAAAATCTTTAAAATATTTTTTAGGCAGATGTGATGATTTCCAGATAGTGTTTGTTGTTTCCAGAAGAAGCCATTACTTTTAGATTTCTCTTTGGTCACAGATTATGTAATAATTTATTTTGGCAACACATTAGCTGTAGAGGACATTTTTTCAGTGAAATATACACAACATCAGTCTTAAGAAGAATGGACATGTTCACAAGTTCTTCAAATCATGTATATATATTTTTAAATTTTTTAGTTGTAGATGGACACAATATCTTTATTTAATTTATTTATTTATTTTACATGATGCTGAGGATCGAGGCAAGCACTCAACCACTGAGCTACGACCCCAGCCCCCAAATCATGTATATTTTTGTGATACTGTTGAATGTTAATGAAAGAAAAAAAAAAGTCAGCCTTCAGGGGCTGGGGTTATAGCTCAGCGGTAGAGAGCTTGCTCCTCACATGTGAGGCACTGGGTTCCATCAGCACCACATAATAAATAAATAAATAAATAAAGATATTGTGTCCATAAAACAAAAAGTCAACCTACAGTTTAAGTCAACTTTTCGGGTTCCTAAATTATCATATTTCAAAAAAAAATTTACGGAAACAAGTAGTCACCCAAGCAAAAAGACAGAAGACAATGCCACAATCCAGGAAAGAAACAAGTGATATGAAATTGATCAAAAATAGAACAGGAGATGTTAAAGGCAAGAACTACAGCAAAAAGAATGAAGCATCGTACTCTGAACAATGCGGGAGACATCCACAAGACAGAGGATATGCTTATACATCACCATCAGATTATAATTTCTGATTTAAAAAAAATTCGTAGTTGTAGATGGACAGAATGCCTTTATTTTATTTGTTTATTTTTATGTGGTGCTAAGGATGGAACCCAGTGCCTCACACATGCTAGGCAAGCACTCTGCCACTGAGCTACAGCCTCAGCCCTATAATTTCTGATTTTATAAAGAGAAAATTAACAGACATCTCGGATATTACGGAGGATCTATTAGAGACTGACAGAGAAGAAAATCCTCCCTGGAGTTGAAAACTACAGAAAAATAATCATGAATATACTAAATAGATTTTAAACCTCAAGGAAGCAATAAGGAAAGAATAAATGCAGATTGAATTATTGTTACAAAACAGGTTGAAGAAACTAGGACACGCTTTTATCAACTCATCAAGCAGAAAAGATGCTAAAGGCAAAGTAGCTACTAAGAAATGCGGGTCATGAAATTCATGCTGAGCTATGAGGCTCTTAAAAGACTTATCCTCCACAAGAGCAAAATAGAAACTAAGTGTGATGCCATTGTCTGGGATTAACATGTTCAAATTAAAAATGCTATCTATAGAAAAGTTATTTTGAACTGGCCACGTATCAACAGACCAAGCTTTGGAACATTTGCAAATAAAAAGAAATGTTCACAAACTCTTGGACTGTTAAGAATAACTAATGCATCCTAAGAAAATGGTCAAGAGGACATGGCTTAAATTGAACTGGAGCTCAAAGGCAATAACAGACTTGTACCTTCTTATTATTTCATATTATCAAAGGCTGCAAAAAACTGGGAATTACACTTTCATATAATTTGAAAGGGTGGATGATATCTGGTTTTTCTTTTTCCTTTTTTTTTTTTTTTTTTTGGTATCAGGGATTGAACCCAGAAGTGCTTGACCACTGAGCTACATCTCAGCCCTATTTTGTTTTATTTATAGAGACAGGGTCTCACTGAATTGCTTAGCACCTGGCCATTGCAGAGGCTGGCTTTGAACTCATGATTCTCTTGTCTCAGCCTCCCCAGCCACTGGGATTACAGGCAAGGGCCATCACACCAGTGATTTTCTGATTCTTTGTGTGTGTGTGTGTGTGTGTGTGTGTGTGTGTGTGTTTGTGTGTGTGTGTGTGTGTGTGTGTGTGTGGTGCTGGGGTTAAACTCAGGGCCTTGTGCATGCAACACAAACACTCTACCAACTGAGCTATAGTCCCAGCCCGATTTTCTGATTCTTAATAGCCTACAAAAATTAGTTGTCTTCCCTATCCTAGAGTACACACTTTTATAAGTATTTATCTCTTTTTAAAAATTATTCTTTGAGCTAACTGCAGTGGTGCAGGCCTGTAATCTCAGCAGCTTGGGAGGCAGAGGCTGGAGGACTGCGAGTTCAAAGCCAGCCTCAGAAACTAGCAAGGCCCTAAGCAACCTAAGAAGACCTTGTCTCTAACTAAGATATAAAAAGGGCTGGAGAAGTGGCTCAATGTTTAAATGCCCCTGGGTTCAATCTCCAGTAATCTGAACTCTCCTACTAGATTGTGAGTTCCTTGAGGGCAGAGACTGTCTTCATTCATCTTTAAATTCCTAGGACTGTGCATAAGGTCAGGCCAAAAGCC